AAAACTATTTGTATTAAACCACGAATCAAAATCGTCCGAACTATTGAATACATCCGGCAGAAGAAAGTTCAACAGGGACCACAGCTCGTGAAGATTATTTTGCAGCGGCGTGCCTGTTAACAGAAGCCGATTGGTGGTTTTAAATTCCCTGAGAATCTCCGACAGCTTGGACTTTTCGTTCTTTATTCTGTGAGCTTCATCTATTACCATGTAACGCCAATTGAATTTTTTGAATACTGATTTCTCCTTGATAACCATCTCATAGGACGTTACGCATACATCCCATTCGCCAGGCATCATTACATCTCTAATGAAAGTATTTCTGGTCTCCGCATCTCCGATGAGGCAGACAGCTCTGAGGCTGGGACACCACTTTTTAAACTCATTCATCCAATTAGCCAGCGTCGACTTGGGAACGATGACGATATGAGGACCAGGAATGTTTCGAAAGTGTTTCATGTATCCGAGCAGGGAGATAGTCTGTAGCGTCTTACCTAGACCCATCTCGTCCGCCAGAATACCGTTTATACCGTGCTCGTAGAGCGATATCATCCAATTTAAACCACGTATCTGATAATCACGCAACTCACCCGACTTGATGTAATGCGGCGAGGATTCAAAACGCGTTGTAGGCGCCACGCTGGCGTTACTCTCGGCCAATAACTCCTCATCCTCCTCCTGCTCGGTCTTACGATGCCTATGATCGCCCGAGTCCGGCTTAGGTTGATTCTCCGGTTGTTGTTTCCTAGGCCTGCCAGCCTTGATCTTCAACGGACTACCAGACTTATCTTTCTGATTGTTTGTCATAAAGTGCGAGAATATCTCGGTCTGTTTTAGCAAGTAGTCGAATCGTTTGCTGCGATCCGTCTCGAGTTTCGTCTCAAAATCGCCGCCCCTCGATGACGTGGTCTCCGCAGAAGACCCGTTCGAGTTGTCTCCGGTATCGCCGGTGTCCGCATTTTCATCCGGCTTAGACATCTCGCTCTAGGTTATACCTACGGCTTGTAAACCTTGTCTTCCGCGAGATTAAATCTTAGTCGCTTGAGAGTACGAAGTATTTGTTCGCTGATGACCAACTTATTGGCCTGTCACAGTCGTTGCCGACGCACTGCGTCTACAGCATCAAGCACTGCCGTGGATCACCATTGACCGCCATATTGCGTTTATCCCTCCAAAATTACTAGAGTCACTATACTCATGGAATCGCCTTAAAGCCCGTATCAGACTATGATCGTGATTGGTCAATTTCTTAAGGCTTAGAGCTTAAATCACTTATTGTAGACCGGCACTAAGTGTCGGTCTACAATAGATGATTCAAGCCCTAAGCCTTAAGAAATTGACCAATCACAATCAAGTATGAGGAGAATACTCGACTGTGATTGGTCAATTTCTTAAGGCTTAGGGCTTAAACCACTTATTGTAGATCGGCACTTAGGTGATCACAAATCCTTTATTTACAACGTTTGGTAGTCCATAATTTATCCAAAAAGTAAAAAAAACCATGTGCATTGACCCTGCGCCTGCGCATGCCTTCGTCGTGTAAAGGTGCCTTTACATGGCAGCATTAAGCGTCGAGCGTCTGCGCAAATTTAACCAATCAGGACAAAGAAATTTTAGTCCCTTTTGTTTTGATTAGTCAAATTCCAATCTTTAATCTTCAATCTTCAATTTTCAATGCGTATTCTGATATGGGCATTAGGCTAAGTTCCAAAACGGTGTAAAATTTCCTTTCCGAGGAAAATTTTACTCGATGGCCAGTCTGGAACCAATCAGAGACGCTCAAAAAAATTTCGGAACGGCCATCGGAGTAAAATTTTCCTCGAAGAGTATGTTTTGGAACATAGCCTTAGAACATATATAAATGGAAGGGGAATAGCAGGCTGAAAAGTGTCGGAAGGAAGTGAGAAAGAAAATCGTAGTTGGCTCTCTGTTGTGAGTAACTACACATACAAGCATCGTGTCTGTAAATATACATACTTTTGTGTACACACACATGTGACTAATGTAACCTTATTTTTCATTGGGCCAAACCGGTAAGCCGTGCATGCGCACTTTCGAGCAGTTTTTCACAAGAGAGAGGCAACTATGATCTTCTTTTTCACTTTCTTCCGACATGTGTTTCTATCGGGAAACAAAGGCATTCCCCTTCCATTTATATATGTTCTAAGGGAATCGCGCACGCGACCAATGTTATGGCCGTTGCACAATGCTAGGCGATAGCGATATGGCTTCTGCTGCACACAGGATGCGGAAACACTTGCCGCGCGGCAAAAGACGACGCTGTAGCCAATCAATTTGTCGCTCTAATGGAAAAGTCGTAAATTGATTGGCTACCGCGTCGCCTTTTGCCGCACGGAAAGCGTTTCCGCGTCCTGGGTACCAATCATGTAACTTTTTCCCTCGGGGGGAAACGTGAAAAGTGAAAAATATTAGCATTGAAATCAATGGCAAAATTTTTCACTTTTTCGCCCTAGAGGAAAAGTTACATGATTGATACCCTGGGGGTCGATTGTGTATCTTTGAAACAAAGTGAAAATTACAAAAGCGAACAGATTTACTAGATTTCGACAAATGACATCGTAGATACTCTAATGAATTTACTCACTTTTATAATTTTCACATCGTTTGAAGATATACAATCAACCCCCAGATGACAAGATATTTATTTAATCCTAAACCAATCACAGAGCCATATTAGCATCTTAGGACATTACTTAAGACGGTCTTGAAATAAGAACTGACTATGAATACCGGCCCTAAAGCCCATATCAGACTACGCATTGAAAATTAAAGATTGAAGATTAAAGATTGGAATTTGACTAATCAGAACAAAAGGAACTAAAATTTCTTTGTCCTGATTGGTCAAATTTCAATCTCGAATCTTGAATCTCAATCTTCAATGCGTAGTCTGATACGGGCTTAA